TTTTTTTGGGGGGGGGGGGGTCATCTATGAATCCCCACATTGGGTACGGCCCTGAGAACGTCTCTAGGCCCTCTAGGATTCCTCATGAGGAACTAATGACGGACTTATGGGAAATCATTTGGAAGGATGGCATTCGCATCTCGACGTCGTTAACTTAACGACAGCGGGCTATCACGATTAATATTAATATCGCAACGTGGCGTTAGCGTCCCGACGTCCCCCTCTACGAATCTATCAGTTTTAGGTTAATTGCACGTTGACGATAATAGGGGCATTCTGGCGTACACGTGATCGTTGTGGGTTAGGTTGGTACTGTGAAAAAAAAAATTGGTACCCTTGTATCATGAGTTTCGCTGAAGATTTCAATGTTCGTTATATTAATTTAACGTTCGAAAGTTTTGCGCGATTTTAGTTACACCCGCAAACCGCCAGGCGGCGACTCGTGTGTAAATTAGCGGCTGGACGGGCCCCCCCGGTAAGCACAGGTCGATTCCGCGTTACCGCGTCGAAGGACTACAGAAGTAATCTGGACGTGGGCCAGGAGCTAATTCCCGCAGTTTGAGTTGATGAAGAGAACGAGACTGTTCCAGCACGAAGCTAGTTAAACTCGAGCCACTTCTATTTCCGGTTTGTACCTAATAGCGGCCGCTAGGCGCGCAACCCTGTATAACAGACTCCGCTCGGGCTCTCCTTTCCCTGTATATCCAAGCCTCCTAAGCACGTCTATTCGTCGAAAGTATCAACTTTCGTCCGCGATTCTCCAGGCTTGATTACTTCAGCGATTACCTGAAATCCAGAACTGCAATTCATTGGCGTCGTTACGGCTGCCCGGGTCCCTCTCGTCCATAGACCAAGCGATATACGTCATTGGTATAGCCCTTACGGCTATTAATAGAAAGTCCCTAGACTCGATCTAAGACGTCAAAATTCCCTAGGGAAAATGATACCAGGACATTTGACGTCCATTAGGATGCTTATACAAATTGCTGGAAGGAGTTCAGTCAGCTAGCCTTCTAACTGCCGGAAGAGTCCGCGGATCCTCGTGGTCTTCGGGTACCGGAAATGGCCTGGCAAAAAAAAGACGGGGAAACGCTCGCGAGTCCATCTCGTTAGTAAAATGGCGACTCCTTGGATTCTCTCTATCGTTATATCGTCGATCTACTTCGTGGATGGAATTGTCGACGTTATCTTGTTGTCGAACGATTTATGGAGGGGGTGGGAGTTTTCTGCTACCCTCACGAAGTCCGGATTCTCTCTTGCCTAAAAGCAATCTGTCGGTAGGAAGAAAAAAAAACGATACCGACTAATCCGACATCCGGTATATATATATATATATATATATATATATATATATATATCCTATAAGTGATATGGATCGATAACGGGAAAGTATCCACGTTGCTAATACGTTGCTTGATAGGTATCCGCCATTTTATCTTGGCGATATTAACGATAATAACTGACGTATGTATACCGGGTGACGCGCGGAAAACTCATTTCTATTCCTGGTCACGTGCACGTTCCAGGATTAATCCTCCCTGTCGATTTTCTCATGGCTACCGTTCGCCTGCCAATACCTGTCGTGGCTTCCTGTCGCACGCTTTGCCGGTATACGGTCGCCTTTACGAGATGTCAAAATAAGCTGCTGACAGGAGCTCATGAAATTTTTACATGGACACTTCCACGTGGGAATCCAAAGTCACGTGTTTTTTAAATTTTATTTCATATTTTTATTATGCATCCGCTGGCGCGTCAATTGCTGACACCGTAACTGCTTTCATTAATTATATTGCAAAATTAAATTATCGTATTGTACTGTTATACTTTATCATTGGGATATTTGTCAAAATTTTGGTTTTTCTTAATAAATAATTTTTTTTTGAGACCGTATTTTAATATTTTTTTTAGAGCAAACATTTTATCCACTCGATGTGGGTTCTGACTGTTGTACGTGAATATATGTATGGTATATACAGGAGGTTCGGAAACTAAGTCTGTTTTATCTCTTTATTTCTCTAGATTTGGAAATACTCGTCTCTTTCTCGTGTGATTATTGTTCTTCTCTTTTTCTCTCTCTCGCTCCCAAAGATATTCTCTCCCTCTCTATTTACCTGACGCTCGAGCGCTTCCAAACCAGACTACCAAACCAAAACCGATTGCCCGGTCCTCTTTCGCCAATTTATTTGCAATGCACTCGTTGTACTTTTTACGATGCAGCCTCCCTACGCGTCTGCTCATAGGACAACAAAGGCCGCCGAGCTAGCCCGAAAATTCTAACAGGATGGAATCGTTTACGGGTTTCCGTCAAACAATGAAATTCAGGACGCATGGAAACTGCAAGAACATTGTGTTACTATGGGAAAAAAGGGGAATTGGTCCTCTCGCCGTTTCAACGTAGCACGAAGAGTGGAGAGGTTAAATTTGGGATGTTCCAAAAATTTTTGAAAAATTTCCAAAACTTCACCCGCACGATCCATTCGCCCTCTGTGCCAACGAAGTGTATTCGGGGATAAGGTAAAAAAGAATTGAAATAAAAAAGGTAAGCAATTTATCCCTAGGGAAGAAACACTCGGGGCTTCTCCGGGAAATCAGTGCAGGTAAACGAGCCGGCACGTAGGAGCTGGAGATTTTTGAAAGTGGACGTCCGTTGGTATAAGGGTGAATCAGGCGTGTCGCGCCTGCGTCCTATAGCCGGGGGTGACTTAAAACGAAGAGAGAAAAAAGAAAGTGGAGGCTGGACCAGAGTGAGAGAATGAGAAAGTAAGGATTTCAAGTGGGAAGGGTGGAAAGTACCCAAGGCATTCGAGAGAATGAGTATAGGAAAGGGGGTGTAGCGGGGTGTGGTATGGCAGGTCGGCAGTAAGGAAGGTAGGCTGTGGTAAGGGATGAAGGGGGGTTGTATCTCCCAAGGGATGAAAACGTAGCCGATGCGCTCTGGAGATTCTCTGGCCGGCGGCCAAACATCCAACAAGCAAGAAACCCTCCACTCGATTCCATCCACTTCACCCTACCTATCCCCCCCCTCCTACCCTTAAAGCATCCCCCCCCTCGTAACTCCTGAAGGGTGCGTCCCAACGCTATATGGGTACCCATAACCCTCGTGCTTTCTCCTCTCTACGTTAAGACCAGTCTTGGCCTCTGTGATTACAGAGCGTCGCGGCGCTCGCGTCTGGACGTACGAAAATATTCCGGACGTTCGTTTGCATCCCTTATTTGTTTGGTTTTTATTAATGTCTATACGCTTTGCCCTAACTAAACTCGATTCTTTTTCTTTTCACTATGTTATCTTAACCCTTCAAGTTTCGTCCGGGGTCGAAAGTTCATCCCCGAGGTTTTACACTCGGGCAAACTAATTGCGAACTGTGGCTCGTTTTTCTTTTGTTCCGAATAGAATTTTCATAACTTTGGAAAATTTTGTAGTTTTTTTTTTTTTTTCAGAAAATTTTAGTCTATTCTTTCAATTACTTATTAGACTCGCTGCTGGACCTTTTTGTAAGGGTTGAAAACTTTAGCCCACCGTTTTATCACTCGAGCGTACCTGACCGCCTCTTTTCTATATCGGATCGATACACTTTTTATGTACTCTCGCAAAAAAATAGCGGTCCAACCTCGATCTCCTGACTTCTTCACTGGATCTTACGATCGTCCAGCTTGAAAGCAGGGATACGGTTCCCTCGTGTTATGACGTGGAACTTCCTCATAAATAATAACGCACTGGGAACGACGTCTAGCTATACTTTGTTGCCTCTGGTCTTATGGGGAGACAAGTTTTCTCTCTTTTTTTTTTACCGCACTCCGTCCCTTCGATAATCACCCATATGTATACAGCGACCGAGTGTATAAGCCGCGTATGATGTAAATATACGTCTATAAAATAAGGGTTCGTGTCCGCGCTATTGATATAGCACGGACTAGAACCATACACGTGTAACCGGAACGAATACGGCAGAAACCTGTTACTATTATCAGAACTGACAGAGATAGATTTAAAAAGACCAATCGCAAATTCAGCAATTTTCGAAATAGCTCGAGCACGGATTGAATTTGATTTTTCTGCGGTCTTTCTTTTTTCAAAAATATCACCCCAGACGTGGACGGATCGTGCAGCTTTATTAAAGTAACAGGTGTCCCGGCTGCGCGAGACTGTCCGTTACCGTTATCGTTATCGTTACGCCGCCCGTGACAAGTGTCCGTAATTGTCAGCAACTTTGTCCCCCCCCCCTTTTGAAATTTCCCCTCTCCCCTTTTTTCCCCTCCGCCCCAATAAAGTATGCAGACTTAACGACTCCACGTATCGTCGTACAAAAGCTTGTAAAGCTCTCGTCGAAACCCATTACGACGTCTATACCAGCAACGACGCCGGGCGTCGTTAATTTTTTAAAAATATAAGACAGTTTGAAAAACAACTTTGAAAAAAATTTCAAAAAATAAAAATTCACATTTACCATACCGAATTAACGGTAACACCCGTTCCTCAAAGAACCCACCGTGATTTACTTTTTTCTCCCAAAAATATAGTCTTCAACTGTTAGTCGCGTCGTTCCAATGAGTTCTCGACCAAAAACTCGAGTTATCAAACCCAACCGAAACAACCCAGACAGCAGCCATGTTCCCGTTGCCCTATCACTCTCGAAATCTGAAACTCCAAGTAGCACCCTACAACGCTCCCAGCATCCCAGAATGATGGCTGCCTGTTTCTCAAGAAATTTGAAGGAACCCAAGCTAACCTCCAAAAAAAAAAAAAAAAAAACACATCAAACCACCTGGTTAATTTCCAAGCCAATTTTCAACGCCTTAACCAACCTCACCCACTGTCTTACGCGCATTACCAAATCCCTCGTATATTTAAACTATCAACTTCAGCCTTTGAAGTTGATGCCGATTACCCATAAAATTATCAACAGTCGCGTTGATAAATGCTCGGCGTACTTATTTAATGGCCTCGTAACCTCTGTTCCAGAATACTTGATGACGGGAAGTCCACGAAGCTACCCAGCAAGATCACCAGGCGTCGCCTCGACCCCCACAGTTACTAGGTGAGTCGATATCCTCCTGAACTTTTATCTTAACGCAAAGGAAGAGGAGCCAGAGGGACGCACAGTGGAAAAGCCTCTCGGGCTTTCATCGCAGTTCCAAACTGTTTTGAATCCCAGCGAATTAGGAGCGTCGTTACGGACCTCACCTACCTCCCCTCCCGCCCTCTGTCTCGCAGCAACGCCACCCTGCCTCCCTCCCACCCTCGCCTACTTAGGTCCTCGTACTACGCCACCGAGCTCTTGTCCAACCTCTGCCTAACTCTACTCGTAAGAGAGCTTGAACTTTGCCGGAAAGTTCCCTGGCGCGATCCTTGTTTTACGAGCGGCTTTAAATCCGAAGCCTTATCCCTAGATTGGGTTACTATGCGAAAAGGGGGGGTTGACTTTTCAGACTCCATTTTTTTTTTTACATTTCGTTCTCTCGAATCGATACGGTGTACAGACTATATGGAAAAATGAAGGATTGGGGAATGTAGGATAAATGAAAAAAAAAAGTAAGTAGACTGCACCGGTGAATTTAATATATTTTTTGAGCCTTAATTTGAAGAAAAAAAAAAATTATCAGGCTTATCGAAGAATTGTATTTATGCATAATCGTGTTTGTGTTCGGGAAATTTATTGAGGGCAGGTGGGGCGGGTTATCCATAAAGAGGAATTGATAGGCCTACGTGATGTCGTACGTTGTCATTTTTTATTTTGTTGGTCGGTTTTTTTTTTTTTTTTTTTAAAATGAAATTTCGATAGTGAAAAACAAATGGCATTTAAGGGAGTACCGTGTTTGTCGATAGTTGAAAGATCTTTTTTTTTTTTTTCTTAGTGGCTACCGAGCAGTGTAAAGGCACTTTTTATGTCTGGCATTGAATCAGCCGTTTCCACTTAACCGTTCAAACGGCACTTTAGGCTTCCCTTAGAGCCACGGGAAAATTGGTTCTTTGGGTGTACCGGGTCGGACCTTACGTCATTGCTGAATGCGTAGGACAGACGTAAACTGTGGAAAGGTAATCAACGTGTGTTAACTGTACCTTTAATGGGATTAGGATATATTGGATTTAAGTGACGTTTTACGGAGTCAATCGGGATGAAACGAGGTGACTGAAGTCGTAAGGTTTACGTGGATATTGGACGATAGGGAAGTGATGACGGAAAAAACGTTGATAACATTGAAAAAACTTTTTCATCTTACAGAATCACTGATACACGGTTGTCTGGGTTTTTTTTTTTTTTTTTTAAATTACGTAAAATATATCAAATTCGTAAATTGTATCTCGAATATTTCCCGTACGCATTTGGACAATCGAGGCGATTAATAGGCAACTTTTATTCTTGAATACATATCTTGGTAAGATTTTTGAAAAAAATTGCAAAAAAAAAGTCATCAAAAATATTAAAGACCAGGTTTCAAGAGTTGATACACATATATGAGTATGTGGCTTCTTCGCGTTTCTCTGATTAGATCTTACAACTGATTTACGTGTCAAATGAAAATTTTGGTGTCATCCCCAAGATCAAGATTGAGCTAAAGAATATATATATATATATAGCCGATTCGTAGCCCTCTGTAAATTCTTCGAGCAGAATCCCTCTTTGTAGGTGACGAAAAAGAAAGACGATCGAAAGTGGAGTGCGGTTCTTGCTGAGGTAAAACTTTTTGAGAATCTAAATGAATCGGGCTGCTGCCAGGAGTTGAAATAACCGAGTTGGTACAGGGGGGATTGGTTCTTAGGACGAGTGGGGGGGTAGGTGGGGCAGGGCGAGGAGAAGGACGGTCGTCCGTAAGTACAGAAGGAAGAAGTCTCCACTAAAGATGTTCCAATTCAAATGAGACGAACTTTTAAAATATTTAGAATGTTGAACAGCACCCCTTCGAAGCTTTTTTCGAGGTGGGGGGTTGGCAGGGTGGAGGGTACCCCCCCGGCTGTCCTTTTTCCTCCTTATTCATTCTGTTGAACCTCCCCTTACTCACCACTCCCTACCACGAGAACGTCTCTTCATCCCCTCTCCCTCCCCCCTCCCGCCCCTATTAACTTCGAAATTTCAATCCACCACCCTTTTGTAACACAATTTTTTTTTTTACTTCAAAATTTTCACACCTCACGTCCATCGTCTCTTTTCACTCTACGACCACCTCCCTCCCCCCCCTTCACCCCTCTTATTGGATTTTCACCCTTTTTTCACGTTTCAGTGAATTCTTCGTCTATTCTCGGATAGGGCTTACTTAGTCTTTTCGTCGAGTCCTCAGTGTATGAAGACACGTGGTAGTACCACGTGTGCTCATGTGTACGCGTCAAGCTGTATAGCTATATATATATATATGTTTCACCTTTGTATCGTAACGATCGACGTGCATCCTTTGGTCGCGTCGGTGAAGATGCGAAGAAAAAAAAAGTGGGGGGTGGAAAAAAAATAAAAGAAAAAAAAATGGGAAATCTGAGAGTAACGGTCAGCCCTGGTGAGTTCGTCGCGCTCGAATGGGAATCTGGGTCGTTAAGGGTTGGCGCGAGGGCAAGAGGTCACGCTAGGTTGCCCGTTGGGGGCTGAAAACGTCAGAAACGAGAGACAGCAAAGGTTTTAAGTACAGTGAGTTCTTACTTTTTTTTCTCTCTCTCGTTGCCCCAGCAACCGAGCACCTTCCGTCTCGCTGACCTGCCGTTTTCCGGTGATACAGATTGGACCTTTCGTATTTATTCTTTTAACGTTACCATCCCGTGCCGCTTCGCGCGACCTTATGACCTCGCGACTCCTGGACCCCTCCCCCTCGTGCCCATGCTGTTTGTGGGGGAGGGTCGTTAAAAGCTTTTAAAAAATTGTCAACCGCGTCACCTAAGTGCACTTGCACTTTGACCTGTTACACAATTTTTTACTTGAAAAAAATTTTTTTTTTTGATTTTCCAAAAAATCGTGACGAAATATCGAGTGACGAATATTGCGTATAAATCATTTTCTTTTTTCAAACCATCCTTTTCTACCACTACGTGCAGTTTGACGTTAGACGTGAAACTTGGCGGATCATTCGAAACTACACTCAAACGGACTCGGACAGTACAGACATTGACTACCCGTCACGGAACAGTATAAATTAATCAAACACTGATCCCACGTGACGACTTAAACCCAGTTTCCAATAGGTTTCTACATCTCTATGAGAATCGATCGTAGCTCCTCCTGCAGGATAAGGCGTTACGCGTAAAAAATACATTGCGAGCCAACGATTTACTCCTGGCTCCTTCTTCTCTTATGACGTTCCTGGCATCCCTTAAAAAAAAATCCTGGTGACCTTTGACCTCGCTCATTGAACCTTTCCAAAAAAAAAAAAAAAAAAAAAAAATTGGCGTGCGTCTCCCCCCGTCGTCGCAACTCGACTGCATTGTGCACAATGCACCGTCACAAAATATCTGGAAGAATAAAGTCAGTCTCGCCTATGGGAATTGTAAACGGTGCCTTTATAACCTGCCGGCTTGGTAACAGGTACAGCCTATACACCGTAGAGAAATTTCACGGTAAATCATTATTTTATCCCGAGCTATAGCCGATACGTGTTAACTGTCGCGTGAATGGGAATCGTGGGTAAAAGAGTAAGAAGAAATAATTCTTGAAGCGGCTTATACCGAAGGACGAGGGGTCGTGGACCAGGTGAAGGATGGGGAGGCGGGAGGGGGTGTTCTTGGAAGATGAAAATTTTGCTAAATATGTAAAAAGCCGAATTCTAATTTTCAACCTCTTGAAGTAACTTCAAACCAATCATGGGGCTCTCCCCGTGCGCGCGCGCGCAAGAGTAAGCAAGAATGCACCTCGGGTCGGCTGGTAATGCGATTACCGACCGCGAAATAAAGAAAATTGCCTGGCTTTTGCGAGGCGCAAGAGGCGGCGCCCTGGCTCGTGTCTGGCTTGGCCTTTGCGAAAGTATGCAACGTGTTTTTTCTCCGACATATTTTCGTAGCCAGGCATCGCGTCTAGTGTATTGCGCTTCTTTCCACCCCTTTTCCAATCCCATTTTATCCTTTATATCCTCCTCTCTCACTTTGTTTCTATTTTTTTTTTCTTTTTTCCGTACCTTGACTCGTACCCTGCCTCCTAGACCTTTTTTCTATTTTTTTTTCTTTCTATTTTCATTTTTTCTTTTTACTTTCACCCTATCCTTCCCTAGACGGAAATTCAAATTACCTCACGCGAAATTGCCTCGAGGCTTAATTCATTGGCATATCTTGTCCTTGAAGGCAACTCTCGTTTCCGTACGGGTGATTTTTATTTTTGCAATTGTAAAACAATGGGGGATCTTGAGGTATGAAAAATCAGCCTGGCAATTTTTTTTTTTCACGTCTCGCGAAATCTTGAAGGATATTTTTTTTTTGAAATTATTTCTTTTTTTGTTTTTTCCAACCCCAATGCCAAATCAGATAAATTGTATCGCTTAAAGGGATGAATGTTGCGCGCGATCCTCTCGTAACTGTATTCGAAGTGGCGCTCCTGGCTGGCGCATCAAAATTGCACAATGGACTTACTGGACCGTGGGCCGCCGATATTCGAGAGCCGCATCCCCTATTGCTATTCTATGCATAATCCATGGATCGAGGGTGCATAATTGCATCTAGATAAAACAGGTGAATCGGCAATCCCGCCGTAGACTCGACAGGGATGCTCTATACACTTGGTGCTGATCCCATCACTGTGCCTCCCTGACCCCCCTGCCCTCTTTTAAACCACCATAATTTTTTTTAACGGCCACGTATTTCCTAATGGTGTTTGGCCACGGGGCTGCGTTTGTAATGCTATGGCAAACTCCCATGCAAATAAGGCTATCCTCGCTAGGGGATGTTTCCCAGAAACGATTCGGTCTTTAAAAACAATTTACCAAGGGTAACTGCTCTCCCTGAGGGATTGGTTGCCTATCAAAATTCTACCCGTGGATTTTCTCGAAAAAAAAAAAAAAAAAAAAAATCACCCTTAAACCTCAAATTGTTACACCGTAAGGGTTATCGGACTTGAAATTCTTGCTAAATATA